ATATTCGTTGCATACAATGTCATTCAAAGGTCAAGGTCAAGGTCAAGGTCATGTCAGGTCAGGTCAGGTCACCAAAAACAAAATATAGTAAAGGGCATGTGCGACAAATGTTTTATGGGTCACTTTACTCATAGAATTCAAAAGGCACACTCAATAAATGATATGGACCACCTCTGGATGAATTTCAGGTCGAGGTCAGGTCAAGGTCAGGTCAAGTGAGGTCAAATTTTGAAGTTGGTTTTTAAGGCCTAAAAAGGTGTCTATCTGATGCAGTTTTTCACGGCGAATCGAATGGTGCTATTTTTGTTTCCGTACGAGGTCAAGAACTTCCAAAAAAAATCATTTTTTCAAAATTTTTGTGTGTCGTGACGTCATAAAATTTTGAATAACTCCCACATTTTTGAACCGATTCTTCTAAAAATTGGTATGTAGGTGCACATAGACCACTCCTCTGACATATATTCCGTTTTTTTATACACTCAAAATTTTGGATTTTATAATTATTTTCCCAAAAAAGTCAGTTTTTCAAATTGGGCCCAAATCCAAAATTTTCAAAAAACCGAGATAGCCATTTGATAGACAAAGTGCAATCACGCATAACCTTTTTTGTTACGTCTTGATTCCTTTAAAAATGAAGATGTTAGCGGCGTTTGAAATTTTGCCGTTTTTGAGGCGAAAATGGCGAACATGACGTCACTAAAACGTCAATTTCTCAAAAATTTTCCGACGGATTTTGCTCAAATTTTCAGGGAACGTGTCAAATTGATGTATGATAAGGTACCGAAAGTTTGACGTCGCTGGCGTAACGCGTTTAGAAGTTATTGGCGAAAAACGGGAGGGGGGGGGCAGATTCTGCCCCCCAGCGGGGCGCGGGTTAATCACGTATAATAACATCTATTTTCTCGAGCACGTTTTGTTCCATATCATTGCCGAGCACTAGTTTGAACTGCTTGCCCAATTCACTGCCTTTCGATCTGTTCGCTAGTCTCGGGGTATATGTTCCGGTCTTTTTATCGAATGGTTGTGGGTTCGAGGCGGGGTTGGCGAATATTTACACATGGCGTTCAACTTTTATCAGTACCTAAGCCGCCGTCTATAAAGACATGCTAATGTAATTGATTTTGCAGCAGACGGATAGGTTTTGAAATAAAAGGTGGGCAGCATTAATACTACCCACCTAAATCGGCCGCATTTAATACCGACCGGCAAGGCGGCCCGCATTAATGCTGACCGGCCCGTATTAATACGGGCCAGGTCTCCGGTCAGTATTAATGCGGGCCGGGCAGCATTAATACGGGCCGGGTTTTCAAACGGGCCGTAACATATATACCACTCTGATTTCAGCTCTTTATTGAATTTTGTAAACAAATTTGTGTTCTTTTTGGGGACTCTTTTTTGTGCGGTTACAACGCGCTGTAGGCCGCTTTTCACTGTTCAAAAACTGACCGTTCTCAATTCCAATAGCGGCAAGTCTGTCCCGAGTATGACCGGACGTAGCTTGCGGGTGGCATCCTGCGTCACTTCATGACCTACCGTCCGGCGGGTGGTCAATGTGTCAACGCTGCGGCGGGGCAAAACGGAAAAGGAACTGGGCGAGCGTCAGTGGCCGGCGCGTTCTCTAGAACGGAAGTGGTCCTGCTGATATCCACCACCGACGGCGTCTACCGGAAATGTGGCGCCGGAAGGACGCGCACGTGACCTCAATATGCGTGGAGTAATCATCATTGCCATTTTGAAACGAAACAGTCTCTTATTATTGATAGCTCATGATGATTGACAATGATGTTTGTTCAGTCTCCTTAGATGATCGTTCAACCCATCTCATACGAAGCGTCAAGCGATGCTGGGTTTAATGCCTTGCGGCACAGTCTAGCAGCAGGCGTTTGTCACTGGTTCCATCTAGCGGCAGCATTATAAGCTCACGTGCACACGTCACTGACCGCCGTCCAGCTGTCATCAGCCAGCTGCTGAAGTGTTGGTAAAATCAGGCAAATATTTGCCCTGTTTAAAACAGCACAGCCCGGCCCGATCTATACAGATCCTAGAAAGCCCCCACTGTTGTAAAACACGATTGGCAGCATCACGGCACTGTCTAATCCCTATCGCGAATTGGTGAACATGCCGACGACTTGGCGAGGAACATGTTTGACTTTAACGAAACGTTATTATTCATTCGTCGGAACACGGATTCATCAGGTCAACAGCTCTTAAATGTCATGTAGGTAGTAGTACAGTGTGTCATGTAGTGGCTTGAAATTGCGAATATTTTTTACGGAGCGAGCGAAGCGAGCGGAGTCTTACGTAGAATAACGGAAATTTCTGAGTATGAGCGGCCGGCCGGCCGGCCGGCCGTGCGGACGCTTTTGCGAGGCTTATATCTCAGCAACCACTTGACCGATTTACATGCGGTAATTTTTGTAGGGTAGCTTCATTCCTTCTACCAAGCATTGGACTATTCCCGATGCATGTGGATGACCCCTTATGCACGTGCTACGTGCAAAACGAAGAGGTGTCACTTTTGTAATTGTTGCAATATCTCGGTAACTACTTGGCCGATTGCGCTGAAAGTTGGCATGTAGGTAGGCACCCACTAGGCACTGCATATCCATGTGCCAGAGTTGGGGTGCCGCTGCACGTGCGCACGTGCAGGGGTCGTTTCCAGATCTCGAGAACGGCTGGACCGATGGCGCTCAAATTTGGTACACGGTTAGGGACCAGTTAGTAGGGTGTCGTGCACAAGTTAGTTGGGACCCATTTTGCACGTGCGCACGTGCAGGGTGCCGCTTCCAGATCTCGAGAACGGCTGGGCCGATTGTGCTCAAATTTGGCACATCGCTAGAAACCGGTCAGTAGGGTGCCGTGCACAAGTCAGTTGGAGGTACCCCCTCGAAATTTCGCACGTGCAAGACTCACCCCCTCGCTCGCTCCGTTAGTCGCCCCAAAAGGCGCTATACTGGTTATTACGGAGCGAGCGAAGCGAGCAGAGTCTTACGTAGAATAACGGAAATTTCTGAGTATGAGCGGCCGGCCGGCCGGCCGGCCGTGCGGACGCTTTTGCGAGGCTTATATCTCAGCAACCACTTGACCGATTTACATGCGGTAATTTTTGTAGGGTAGCTTCATTCCTTCTACCAAGCATTGGACTATTCCCGATGCATGTGGGTGACCCCTTATGCACGTGCTACGTGCAAAACGAAGAGGTGTCACTTTTGTAATTGTTGCAATATCTCGGTAACTACTTGGCCGATTGCGCTGAAAGTTGGCATGTAGGTAGGCACCCACTAGGCACTGCATATCCATGTGCCAGAGTTGGGGTGCCGCTGCACGTGCGCACGTGCAGGGGTCGTTTCCAGATCTCGAGAACGGCTCGACCGATTGCGCTCAAATTTGGTACACAGTTAGGGACCGGTTACTAGGGTGCCGTGCACAAGTCAGTTGGGACCCATTTTGCACGTGCGCACGTGCAGGGTGCCGCTTCCAGATCTCGAGAACGGCTGGGCCGATTGTGCTCAAATTTGGCACATCGCTAGAGACCAGTCAGTAGGGTGCCGTGCACAAGTCAGTTGGAGGTACCCCCTCGAAATTTCGCACGTGCAAGACTCACCCCCTCGCTCGCTCCGTTAGTCGCCCCAAAAGGCGCTATACTGGTAGGTAGGTACCTATCTTCCTAAAGCGCCGTGTTGACAGAAAATAGGTACCTACCTACTTAATTCCTCTAGGCATATCTATTACCGTAAAAATAGGTTTTGATCATGCGCCCTAACAATACAGTTGTATGGGCTAAACGCATTTGCAACATGTTTTGCGAAGTGGAGATTCTCATATGAATCGACTGGATAAATATTATAGTCCATAGCATGTTCCTTAGGTCTATGATCGCGTCTATGAGCCATTTCTATGACTGCAGTCATAGACATGGCTATGGTAACTGCATTCTGCGACCTGACTGATTTTGATTCTGCGACTGACCCTATGACTCAGACTCTGTGACTCTTCCTCTATGGCGCTGTAACTCTGACTCGATGCTTCTCTAACTCAGTCTCAGACTCTAACTCTGCCTATGACTCCCGCTCTGATTCGATGTGGCTCTGCCTCTGTGTGACTGCGACTCTGACTCTGCGACTCTAGCTCTATCTCCTTGTGACTGACTCTGACTCTGTGGCTCTGACTCTGGCAGACGGTGAGGAGATGAAGCACAGCTTCAAGCTGTTGCTGTCGATGAAGAAGGAGCCGGGCGGCCAGCCGCTGTTCTACAAGTCGGACGGACAGCGGTTCGCCCGCGAGAAGACGGTCAAACTGAACACGCACTGCCAGTACCGCATGGACCTGTCGTTCACGCCACCCCGAGAGGTCGAGTAAGTCACACGATCAGCTGCTCATATGTACGGGTGATTTTTTATACAGGGCAAAAAGTAAAGAGCAATGGCGGTACCAGAAAACAGATCAACTGACAGCAAATGTATATCTTTGTAAAAAGCACATTCTGACATTTCATTTGCACATACAAACTTTGAGTTTGAGCTCCGTTTAGGCTTACAGAACGAGCTCGAAGTGAGCACAGTTTTAATGCACGCAAGCCTGGAGTAATTGGCGATTTTGGGGAAAACATTTTGTTGTGCGCCATTTTCACGGAACTTCACAACAGAATGAGTCCCAAGAAGTCTCTTTAAAGGTCCTGAAAACAAAATGACAAACAATTTCCTTTCACATGGATATACTTGTTTGGCGTTTGTTATATGTTTTGGTATCTCTAGGCTTAAAAACTTTTTGCCCTGTAAAAAAATCACCCTGTAGATGGCATGCCGAAAAATTCACACATACATTTACAGCCACCCACTCAACCATTCGGACAAACTTTCTTTAAAAAAATCTGCTAAGAAAAAACGATTTGAGGGTGAGGTGAACTGACTTTTCATATCAGAGCTCCAGCAGAGAATAATCAAAATGTATGCTGTGTGTGCAGTTCAGACATCGTATCTATGTCCAACAAAAAATGCGGATCAAGACCGTACTCATTTATGCATTTCGGTAATAAACGTCCAGTGCATCAGTCAATACATCAACGTGATACAACGTAGGTAACATGGGCTATCAGGAAACAATATTTACATCGAGTTATTTACAATTTGAAATGACGCATACCGAATGAATCTCAAACGGCATGGGTAACACATTAAACGCCATATTCCGTATCGCTTGGTAAATTGCAGCTCCGCAAATATCCCAGTGTCGCAGAGTCGCCCGCCGCTACCTTGTTTTTCGTGCTGATCAGACTTCTTGTTATCAAATCGTCGACATAGTGTTTATGGGATATGTAATTGTTGTTTTGGATGGCAACATTTTAAATGTATTATTCCCCTTTCTTGAACGTTTAAAGAGGCATCATTTCATAACAGGATTTGTACCAATGGCACACCGCTATTCACACACAATAGCCTGGCGTTTGACCTTCCATCATCCGACCATCTTACTTAGGGCTCGCATCAACCGTCTCGTGGGAGGTGTTCGCTGAGGTGTGCTCGGAAGCATCAGGCTCCGTGCCGCCCTCGGCCACGGGAGCCTCACGCCCCACGTGCTCAACCGTGTCCTCCGCCAGCCACTTGTCCATCATCTGCTTCCGCGCCGCCTCCTTGGCCTCCAGCTTGCTCTTCTGCAACTCCTCCCACTCGACCAGATTGGTCTGAGGGTTGTTGGTAAACAAATACTCGGCTAGATAGTCGACGGGGTCTTCGGGTTTCACTTTGGCGCACTCCAAGAGACCCTGTGTTAGCGTCGGTATGACGTGTTTCATGAGGTAGCTGCGCAGAGGCAGTGAGCGCGCTTCCAGCGCCTCAAGTTCCTGTCGCTTCACCTCTGTCAGCCGCTCCATCCAGACCATCTGCTCGCGGCGGCGGCTGTCCATCTCCTCGCGGGCGCACCGCTCGGCCTCCTCGCGAGCTTGGTGCTCCTGCTCCAGCCTCTCGGCCTCCTGGCGCTGCCGCTTCTCCTCCGCCTCCTCCTTGGTGAGGCCGTAGTTGCGCGGCGCGCCCAGTCGCTTCTGCAGCAGCCGGCACGTGTCCTCCATACCCTCGCTCTCGTCTTTGGTCACGTCGATCAGCAGTGGGTGCACCTCGAGCTCGTCGAAGAAGTTGAGAACGGTTACGTCCTCGCGATTGTTGGCCCGGTACTCGGTGAGCCGGCGCAGCACGGCCTCCTCTGTCCAGTGCGTGCCCTGCACCTTCTCCTCAGGTAGGTTGATGGCTCGCTCACAGAGGAACTCGTCAGGCGCGTCTAGAGCAATCACCAGCTCTGGCATGGTGGCACGATTGTAGGCCGGCTCTCCCTCGGCTGGTGCATCATCTGCCTCCTCGTCGACACCGAATAGGGCCTCCGCCTGCTCCACCAGCTTCGGAAATCCGTCGAGCACAAATCCCTGGTTTCGGCACGGCTTAGATCGGATGCGCTCTTCCACGAATTGGAGCACGGTGGCGTCGTCTAGGCGGTTATCGTGGTTAGCGGCACGCTGCTCCTCGATCTCAAGGAGCAGCTCGGCCGCCTCCTCTGGGGTCATTTTCTCCTCGTCCTCTTCCTCTTCTTCCTCCTCTTCGATTTCTGCGTCGATGTCAGCGTTTTCCTCGTCTTCCTCCTCCTCTTCCTCTCCGAGCGTGGGACTTTCACCATCGCCCTCCGGCTCGTCAGGCAGGGTCACTGGAGGCGGGTCTTTGACCGGTGGGTGCGCAATCTCCTCAAGATTCTTGATCGCCGCCTCAATGATCTCGCTCAAGTGAAGATGATGTAGCTTGTAAATTTTACACAGCTTCTCTGCCAGAAAAGTTTTGCCGGATACCGGTGGCCCAAGGATGCAAATCCGCATCGGCTGGAGCTTCCGTTCCGTCCGAAACTCTTTGACGACGTCCGCTATTCCCTCGACAAAGCCACTCTCGGAGCGTCGCTCCTCGATGTTGTCCGCCAGGAACATGCTCTCCATCTTGAGGTCCGTCGTTACAAGGTCAGCGTGCAGCAGGTTCAGGTCGGTGAGGAACACGTCCTCCTTGTCGGCCCTCTTCACCTGCCCGGTGGACAGCTCGGAGCTGATGGCCTTCACGATCTCCCGCTGCGTGTTCGAGAGGCCGTCCACGGCCAGGATGTAGCGTGTGGTGGGGCGCGTGTCGAAGACGCACTGCACAACTTGTGCCAGGTCCAGGATGTGGATAGTTGGGACCACGTTGTTGCCGCGACCGAAAATGGTCAGCTCCTTTTCGTTGTGCCATGCCTGCTTCATCCACGAGTGGAAGATGTCCTCGCCCTTCCCAAATGTTGCACCCGCTGCGATGACGTAGGTTTTGAACTTCTTTTTGTTGGTCTTGCCCAGCGCAAACGTTGTCTTTTCGCAGTTGAGATGCTCCTGGAAGTGTGGATGTGGTCGCCGGCGTCGATAGTCGTCCTCTGTGAACGGCGAGTCTGGATCGTCCGGATCCAGCGGCTTCGTTTTGGCCCATGTCATTACGGTCGAGATCAATATGAACACCTTCCTTTTTGGCCATAGCTCCAGTCGATCATGCAAAGTCTCCACTGCCCAGGTGGCTTCCTCGACTAGCTCCTGTCCTCCGGAGGTTATGTCATAAATGATGACCTCGCATAGTTCTAAACAAGCCAACAAGGTGTCCCTATCTGCTGCTTGAGCTGCTGTCAGTACAAGCGTCCCTGAGGGATCTGAAACAGTTTTCTCGTGCCTCAGCACACCATGAATTGTGGTCAGCGATTTCTTTTCTTGTTCAGCTTCGTCATTTTCTTCGTTTTCTACTTCTTCCTCTTCCTCTGGAACAACAGCTTGCACTTGACCAGTGAAAAGCTCAGCTAAATTCCGACCGAGGTACGAGTCGAGCGTGCTTAAAAAGATGTGTTTTTCGAGCTCGGGCTGTGGCGTTCCCTCTTCATTGTCTGACATGTTTGCGTTCTGATTGTTCTGAGCCTCGATCCTTTAAGATAACTTTTCCTAAATGGTAGGCACTATTACGGACGCAGCTCTCTGGACTGTTCTTACAAGATAAATGCACGTCATACGACTAGAGGGATAGAAAGATGTACTCACAGTCAGACTTATGAATGATTATCACAGTCATATAAAATGAGAAAATTAAGGGTTTGATGCGGAGCACAAGGTCGCAGGCTATGCTGGTACGCTGGTGCGGCGATTGATTTTAATTTTTGGAATTAGTCGATGCATGCGTAGATAACATAAAACAGTCCTCTTTCCGAAGGATATAGGTACCCTGAACGGTGGGATTGTGGGTTTTCATGGATCATGGACTTAGATATGCCAAAACTACGTAAGCTAATTGAAATAAATGAAATACTTGCAATAATGTACGTAAGGTTATTGCATATATGTCGGTTGAGGTCTGAAAAATATTCACAGCGTTAATGCGTCGCTTTATACTTTCAGAGCTGTAAACTTCGGTGGGGAAAACCTCGAGTTTCACGAGGTGACGAGAGACAGCACTGCGTCGGCGTACTCGACCTTCTTCCACACGCAGGACTTTGACATGACCAAGAAGGGTCACCGGAGGGAGGTGCCCGTGGTGGTCACGGTAAGCGAGCAAAACCTTGCACCTGACCGACATTGCTTATTGGTAGCATATTTAATTGGTCATGTACCTAATTAGTTTTTAGCTGTTAACATTCGATTATCATTGATCGGGGATAAGTCTGTATTGAGTTATTATTGATAGCTAACGCCGGTTGCTTTGCAATGGCACTTAGGTACTTCAATTTGCTCTTGTTCATCATTGTCGTTAAACCTTAAATTAACGATGCTAGTTGAAGCTTGTCGGATGAAGTTCGAGCCCTTGCAAAGTTACAATTTTATCGCATTATCAATCACTCGACATTTGATTACGTCAGCCTACGAACATTATTCGAGTTCCACATTATTTTCCATGCCTATGATTTGAAGAAAATATAAAAGTGATTGCAGTCTCCATAGTAATGGCAGTCTCAGTATCAATGTAGTTGCCTGTCAATAATTTGCACATTTCGTACTCCCTGCTGATTACCTCGAGTCTCTCAGGGTTCCGTGTGTGCTTAATTCGTCTATCTTCCCCACAGCTAAAGGACGTGGGAGAGATGCGACTAGTGATACAGGTCAAATGCTACGACCGAGACAACGTACAGCACAGCGAGTGGGGCTCCAACTTCCACTGCATCGAGTACCTCTGCGAGGAGCTCGACTGCCGTGCCGTCGACATCGTCAAAGAGACCTTCAGATAGGGCCACCGGCGGCGGCGGAGGGCAGGCGGGGCGGGGCGCCGCTGGCGCGTGGGGAGTGCTCGCTGGCGTTTACAAGTGATTTATGGGTGTGTCCCGATCCAATAATCGTCGGCCGGTCACGTGCGGCGGTAGGGGGGGAGGGGGGAGGGGGTGCGTGTCTGAGGACCGAGGAGGCTCGGTTGGCGGCAGGAGGCTAGCCCGCTGACACGGACGAGGCACGGGTGGGTGCTAATGACATTGATACTGCGGTCACGCAACAGCCAAAGGTGCAGCCACCTACTGTGAACCCCAGCGTGAGCCGAGGGCTACTAAGAAGCGAACGGACATAGCTTATAGTGTTGTTTCAAGTCAAGTCAACGGCTTTAACGTGCTTATGACGTAATGATAATTTGTTGATGGCTCACTGATGATCCCATATATTTTACCCCTTGGAATACATAAATAGTTTCATCCTTAGTTTTTGTCCTGTATGTTTCCCGTTTGTCGCTAGAAACTGTGCCATAATTTTCTGCATTTCCCAGTGTTACTCTGTGCCGACTTTACCTACTTTACTGCTTGCGAGCTGCTGTCCGAATGTGTCCGTTCATCGTTCGGTGTGCCTCAGCATGCCAATCGCTGTATATAGATGTACGGCGATAAAACAATGTGATGTTTATGAGCCGTGTCATGTTTATACGCACAATCAGAACAATAAATCGTGACAGCGTGCCGAGAGACGACAGCAGTACCAATCGAACCTTTGTGTACATCGATAATGATTTGCCGGTAAGCGGCTATCATCAAAGTTTGGAGAATGGCTTCAGCTCGCACCAGAAATCTATCATAACGTTTCATCAAAAGATCAACGTCAAAATCCTGCACTTACTTTGCCATACCTTTGCTGCACCACACTTGTCACATTGCTAGCACGCAGCCTACCGCATTTACCCACTCTACTCGACCGTTCCTGGCTTTTCGCCTTAGTCGCATTTGACCTTTCCTCGTCGCCAGTCCGTCCACGCAACAGCTGTCTGGAGCGTCGGTCCGTGTACTCAGTCATTCCGGACCGGGCGACTGTGTCACGTTAACGTCTGTGTTTGCTAAAATATGCACAGCATCGAACAGCGGGACCTTTGCCGAGTGGCACATTACTTCTGCGGGCTACACACAAGGGTGCATTGGCAATGGCGGAAGTACGACGCATGTGACACAGTTGGTCCGTGCTTTTGCGGCGACGAATCGGGAAACGTCATCACTAATCAGCCGTGCATTGCATGACACAAAAGCCGATGAGGTAACTAATAACTGTGAACGATAACTCGAGTACAAGGTTCCGTAACTTTTGATGTTTATGACAAGAACGTTAAGGCGAAACGACAAAAAAAAACTAAGTGCTATTATGCTTTTAAATAGCAAAAAAAAACACAACCTTCTAAAAAATAATGTAAAAATAGAGGCTTTGTTACAAGGCTGGACTAACATGAATGCATAATAGTTACACGCGTGCATATTGATCTGCAATTAATAATTGATTGGGGCTGGCATTCAAAAATCAAAAGCATTTGCTTGTGTTCGACAGGCATGTATCTGCCTTTGGGCTGCGTCGCATGGGGCAAAATAGGTAAATTGGGAAAGCTGAATAGCTTGGTGCACTACACACGTAAGTCCACGCATAGTCCTTTTCGAGTATTTTCCTTCCCACATTGCAATCGTTCAACAGGCTGCTTATATTCTCATTTGGCGAGCGACAGGCGACACCTACCAATTTTCGTCTCCTTTATTGAGAGCATCGCAACATCGGTTTACCTGACCTCTCATTTCACATCTGGCGACGACGGTCGGTTTGGATTCAGGCTCAGGCAGTCCAATGCAACTGCTTACATATGCTTATATGCCGACTATAACGGCCCCACATACAATAATGTAGGCTTACGATCAGGGATGCGGAGCCCTGGAAATTTCAGACGGCTTCGACTCCGGCTCCGGCTCCGGAGAAAAAAATCGGCTCCGGCTCCGGCTCCGGGTGAAATGTCATGGCGGCTCCGGCTCCGGCTCCGGCTCCGAGTAAAATGGTCCGGCTCCGGCGGCTCCGACTCCGGCTCCGGCTCCAGTACTCAGTACATCCTCTATACAATTAAATACGGGTGGAAGAAAAAAGGCGAAGGGTTGCTTCTGTAAGGATTGAATTGCCTTGGATTGCTTCTGTTCACGTTGCTTCTGTATTTGCATAACAAGGCTATTTTGAATACCACATGTTTTACTGCCTTGTACTGTCAAACCGAACTAGGTCAATATTTTTTTTTCCTCTTCAAAAAAGGAGCCGGAGTCGCCGCCTTTTTTGACGGCTCCGGCTCCGGCTCCGGGCTATATTGTTTCACGGCTCCGGCTCCGGGCAAAATATGCCGGCTCCGGTGGCTCCGGCTCCAGCTCCGGCTACGGCTCCGCACCCCTGCTTACGATCGCTTAGCAGCGGATAGCTAGCGGCGGCCACGCTGGCAGCTCGGCGGCACAGCCTATCATTCAGGCGCTAACGTCCCGGCGGTACAGCATACATTCAGGCGCTGACACTAGTGCCATCTACTGAGCGCGCCTATAACCCTACCTACTGTTGTCAACAGGACTGCGGAGTCGATGGATTTTTCCTGACCCGGACTCCGGCTTCCAAAAACAGACTCCGACTCCGACTCCTGGCACTATCGACTCTGACCGACTCCGACTCTGCAGCCTTGGCAGCTCTGCGGAGTCGGTGGACTTTCAGTGACTTAGACTCCGGCTCACCAAATCGACTCCCGTTACAACTGTCGACTCCGACTTTTCGACTACGATTCCACAGCCCTGGTTGGAAGCGCACTATTCTGGCCATCCTATTACCAAGAGATTGGCCGGTCTCTACACCCGTTCCGTTTGAGGCCAACAATTAGGCATTTTGTTGGATCTAGGTATTATTTCGTGCTAAGATATTGTATTAAAAGGACAAAATATATATTGCAGCTGGCCTGTTGCAATATGCCATCAAAAAAGAGCACACTGTTCAGCACACTGTTCAGTTAAACACAGTCATATTACTACTTCAATATTACTGGTTATATACGCCGATTAATGCACGACCAATGACTATCGTACAACTATAATTGCGCTCCATTTTCAGCGCTCTTATCCATATCGTACGTTAGAATGTTGTTATCTCACTTCCAAGACATCACAGTGAGTCGGCATCAAACGACCAATCTGCCAGACAGACAGCCTCTCGCTCCCTGACATGTATGGGTAGGTACACTTCCATATCAGGCAATATTCAAGCTGGCACCTCAGACATTATCCCATTTACGCCCTTCGTTGCGTTTTCGCAACGCAAGCAAGCGTCGACGTGATCGAAGCTTGAGAAGTGTGTAAAAGAGACTAACCGATGAGACAAGTTTCAGCGTGTGTAGCATGGTTGTGCGCATGATGCTACGCAGTTACAAGTCTGTGCGGCCGGTAAGTTCCTGCCTAGAGCTCCCAGAGGGAAGTCAAAGGTTTTGTGAGTGATGACGTCACGAAAACCAAGATAAGTAGGCTAAGTACTTAATAATATCGTAATGAAAATTGTGTAAACATATTCTGCAGAGTCCCTACAATAGCGTAGATATGCATTTTGTTAAGAAATAATGCTACAAAAAGGGTTTGTGACTATTTTCAAATATGACTACGGTTGCGTTGCGGGAACGCAACGAAGGGCACATCGGAAAGACAGCGGTGTTGCGAAAACGCAACGATGGGCACATTGGCAGGGTAGCGGAAGTATGAATATCAACAATAGACTTCACTCGTGCTACGCTGTGGGTTCTCTCTTTCTCTCCCCCATCTTCCTCCTTCTCCTCCTCGTTCCCCAACCCTCTCCCTCCCTCTCCCTCTCTCTCTCCCTCTCTCTCTCTCTCTCTCTCTCTCTCTCTCTCTCTCTCTATCTCT